TCAAATCAGCTGGAGCTGTGGGTGCCCAACACCCCTGAACATCTGCCCCGATGTGCCAGCCTTTGTTAAGAACCCAGGGCCACATTATTTAGTGCTCAGCACCCCCACACATGAGCAAATCCTCAAAAGAGATCTGCTCCCAGCATGTACCCAAGATACTGAGCACTTGGCAAAAACCAGACATTTGGGCATCTCAAAAGGGAGGCACCAAACCCCACAAGCCACTAATGGACAGACAGACCCAGACAGGGGTCATCTGGAAGGTGCCTGGCAAGTGCAGGAAAGAAGCATCTCCTCAGGCCATGCCCACTATAAAGAGGTGTGTTCATGGCCAGTTTTATAGGGAAACATGCTCTCCCCATCCAGGCTCTCCAGGCAGGCCAGCTGTAATCTTCTCCGGATGCTATGCCCCAGTGTTGCACAGCTGTGCTCCAATGTGGTCTCCATTTACAAGAAGGGGAGAAAGGAGGACCTGGGTAACTATAGGCCAGTTAGTCTCACCTCAGTCCTTGGGAAGACCTTTGAGAAAATTATCAAGGAGCACATCTGCGGGGACCCAGCATGGGAGGTAATGCTACGGGACAACCAACACGGGTTCATTGTGGGAAGATCCTGCTTGACTAACCTTGTTTCCTGTTACGACCAGGTCATAAAGTCCTTGGATGCGGTCGCTGAGGTGGATGTTGTCTACCTGGACTTCAAGAGGGCCTTTGACACTGTTTCTCACCCCATGCTCATAAAAAAAACTAGGCGACTGAAGTATTGATGCCTACACAGTCAGATGGGTGGCATATTGGCTTGATGGTCGCACCCAGAGAGTGGTGGTGGACAGGTTGTTTTCGAACTGAAGGGATGTGGGCAGTGGAGTCCCCCAGGGCTTGGTCCTGGGGCCTGTACTGTTCAACATCTTTATTAGCAACTTGGAGCTGGGCGTGGAAAGCACACTGTCCAAATTCACTGATGACAAAGATGTGGGGAGAAGTGGGCAGAAGGAGGGGAGGGGACAGAATACAACTAGATCTAGACAGGTTACAGAGATGAGAATAGAATGGAATTCAACGCAGACAAGTGCAAGGTGCTGCATCTAGGGAGAAGGAACCTGCAGCATACCTATAAGCTGGGGAACACCCTTCTCAACAACACAGTGACTGAAAGGGATCTCAAAGTCATTGTTGACTCCAGGATGGACGTGAACCGCCAATGCAAGGAAATGGTCAGTAAGGCTAACCGCACCTTGTTGTGCATCTACAGATGCATCACAAGCAGGTCCAGGGCGGTGATCCTCCCCCTTTATGTGGCATTGGTCAGGCTGCAATTGGAGTAATGCGTCCAGTACCAGGCGCCACACTTCAAAAGGGATGTGGCTAGCATTGAGAGCGTCCAGAGGAGAGCCACTTGCATGGTCGGGGTCAGCAGGCCAGGCCCTACGAAGATAGACTAAAGGGCCTGAATCTATTCAGCCTCCACAAAAGAATGCTGAGAGGGGATCTCGCAACCATTTACAAACTCACCAGGGGGGACCAGCGGAAAATAGGCGAGGCTCTGTTTCCCTGGGCACCACCAAGGAATAATGGCTACAAATTGATTGAGGGTAGGTTCAGGCTTGATATCAGGAGGCATTAATTTACAGTGATGGGTGACAGGCTCTGGAATGGGCTCCCAAGGGAGGTAGTGCTCTCCCCTACCTTGGAGGGTCTTCAAGAGGAGGTTAGATAGATAGCTGGCTGGGGTATTATGATCCCAGCACTCGTTCCTGCCCAGGGCAGGGGGTCGGACTTAATGATCTGTTCAGGTCCCTTCCGACCCTAGAAACTATAAAACTATAAGCTGCTCCTCCTCACCGAAACTATCCTGTTTCCCCAAACAATGAGTGATCTGCCCCTCCCCACAAAGGACTGCATCAAACCGAGCCCCTGGATGCGCTGCAATGCAAGAAGCATCCCATGACTCAGAGCCAGCAGCACCAGCTGCAGGTGAAAACCAGAGGGAATGAGCCACTAGAACTCAGGCATTAGGGACCATTTCCTCCACAGATGTTGTAATTAGGCCATAATTAGCAGGGCTACATCCTGTCAGGAGTCTATCCTAGTCAGGTGCATCTGTGTCACATCAGGTTGTCCACACAACCAGCATGTACATACAAACATTATGAAATAGGTGCTATATATAGCTCCTGCTTACTGTTATATATAACCACGCAGCCTCAGCACTTGGCTTTTGGAGAGGCAGGCCCCCCACCAAGGGTTAATGGAAGCAGGAACTCTTCTCCGCAGAGGCACACTCAGCGTTATCAGTATGCACCTGAGCTAGCCCAAAGGGGAGGGGTGTGTGTGTGTGTGTGTGTGTGTGCGCGCGCGCACGCGCGTGCTTGTACATGGTGTGGGAGGTGGATTGGGTGGGTGTTGTGCGTGTGTGGTGTGTATGCGTCTACACGTGAGCCTGTCTCTCCCTCTCCCAGTTCAGGAACTTCATGTTGTACAGAGGGGATATTCCTCTGCATCCTGAAAGTGCCACCCTGGAGCAGCCTACGTCCTGCATCCTGGGACAGGTAGCTCCCCTCCACTTAGGCCCAGGGCACAGGAGTGCCCCCAGTGCCCAGCATCTGCAGGGTTTTATCTGGGGGTGGTATAAGGCACACATGGAGAACTCCTGGGGGTGGCAAAAGATGTTTTCCATGAAGGGCAAACCAATGGTGGTAGAATCTTGCTAGGAAGATCAATCTATGGCTGACCCATCACAGCCCCCAGGGGTCCGTTTGCCAGGAGCTCCCAGATCAAGTGTGTGCACAGAAACAAACCTTCCAGCATGCCAAGGCACAGCCAGTCAGCCACTGGCTTTTGGGCCCAAATGGGTTGGGCAGGTCATGACGGGACATGATTAAACCTGGAGGTGGGTGTTGCTTCTTCTCAGCAACACTGCAATATTCAATACTGAGAAATGCCTTCCTGACATCTGGACTCCTATGATCGGTATGATACATGTGTATCTGCATGTGCTCATGCCTTGGGTAATGTCCTGGGCTGGTCTCATCCTTCCGGTAGCCCCTGAGAGACCACCTGAGGTACACCAGGGGTACAGCCAGTCCTAGGTGTCCTTCACAGTTTCCTCAGTGTGCAAAATCAAGTGCTGTTTCCCACACAGCATGACAAAGCCCACCTCTGCACTCCTGCTTCAGCCATTTCTAAACAGAGCTGCAACCAGGCCAATACAGATACATACACATACAGGTATGGACTTGATCACACACGTGGGCCCAGCCACAGGCACATGGCACACACACATGTGCCTGTGGGACTGCCGTTAGCACTAGCCCAGGCTCCAAAACAAAGCACTCACTCTGCAAGCTGCCTCTGTGCTAAGCTGAACAGTACGATCAGCTGTCAGAAGCAGCAGTGGTTGGATGCCAACTAGGTGCTACCCAGCACAATACCACTTCCCTCCCAAATACTGGTCCAAAGACAGGGTTGAATTCTGGTCAGACACCTGCCCCTGAGATCACCTGGAATAGGGCTGTTCAACTTCAGTGTATTCAGAGGCCATTCACTGGCTTGGCCTGAAGGCCGCCAGTTCGATAGCCTTGGTCTGGAGCTTCCAAACCCACCAGGCTCCCACCAGGTGCAAGGCAGGGCTGGCTCAGGCCTCTGTCATTAATATATATGCAGTAAGGGGGGGCATCTAATCCTATGAACACTGTCAAGAGTCTTCCAAACAGTGGAAAATGCCCTCCTCTCAAAGCTTCCAGCACTTCACGAGAGATCCTCTGTCCCTGGCAGGGCACACAAGCATGTGGATCTTAGTTTTCAGAGCACTGGTCCAGGAGCATAATAATCCAGTTGCTGTCACGTGCTTGGCCTAAGCCACCTGCCAGCCCTTGGTCTAATGGGTTACTGAGTATCAGGGGATTCCAGTTTGCAAGCAGCCACATGTCAGTGGCAGATGAAAGCAAGGATAAAGGAAGAGATAAGCAGCCTAGAGAAATGAAAGAATGGGTTATGGATTATTTAGAGAAGCTAGGGGTTTTCACATTTGCGTGGCTGGATGGGATGCACCCTAGAGTACTAGAATAGACTGAGATAATTTCAGAACCATTGGCTAGCTTCTTCGATAACTCATGGAGGTCAGGTAAGGTCCCAGATGACTGGAAAAGGGCAAACATAATGCTTAACTTTAAGAAGGGGAAGATGAAGGATCTGAGAAATTACAGACCAGTCAGCTTGGCCTCAACACCTGGAAAGATTATGGAGCAAGTCATCAAAGATCTATTTCTAAGCACCTGGAGGAGAACAAGGTGATCAGGAACAGCCAGCATGGATTTAGCAAGAGCAAGTTATGCCTGACCAACCTGATTTCCTCATTTCCAACCTATGATAAGGTGACAGGCTCTGTAGATGGGGAGAGCAATGGATATGATATACCTCCATTTTAGCAAGGCTTTTGAAATTGCCTCCCACAACATTCTCATTAGTACACTGAGGAAATACAGACCAAATGAAAGTAACTGTAAGGTGGATACGTAACTCGTCAGATCATATGCTCAATGAATAGTCATAAATGGCTCAGTGTCTAATTGGGAGGAAGTGTCATGTGGGGTTCCCCAGGGGCTTTTCCTCCTCTGGTATTGTTTAATGCCTTCCTTATGATTTGGAGGAAGGGACTGGGTGAACAATTAACAAACCAGAAGATGAAACCAAGTTGGGTGAAGTTGCAGACACTCTGGAGAGTAGGGTTAGGATTGAGAATTAACTTGATAAACTGGAGAAATGGTCCCAAATCAGTCCGATGGAATTCAACAAGGACACATTCAAAGTCCTGCACTTTAGAAGAAATAATCACACATACAAATACAGACTCAGGAATGATTATCTAGGATGAACATGAGCTAACAGCGTGGTCTTGTTGCAAATAAAGCCAATAGCATACTGGGCTGTATTAATAGGAGCATTGTTTGCAAATCAAGGGAAGTGATTCTTTCACTTTATTCAGCACTGGCGAGGTCTCACCTGGAGTACTGTGTCCAGTTTGGGGCCCCACATTTCAAGAAAGATGCGGAGAAACTACAAAGAGTCTAGCAGAGAGCAACAAAATGATTAGAGGGCAACATGACTTATGAAAAAAGCTGAAAGAACTAGGATTTTTTTAGTCTAGAGAAAAGAAAACTGAGGGAGATTCAATAACAATTAGGGGAATTATAAAGAAGATGGAGACAGACTGTTCTCTGTGGCCACAGGGGACAGGACAAGGAGCAAAGCTCTTAAATTGTGACAAAGGAAATTTAGATTGGATATTAGGAAGAACTTCCTAACTGTAAGGATAGTTAAACATTGGTACAGACTATACAGAGAAGTTGTGGAATCTCCACCCTTAAAAGTTTTAAGACCAAGTTAGACAAACACTTTACTGGGATGGTTTAATCAGGGACAATCCTGTCTTGAGCGTGGGGCTGGACTAAGCGATCTTCTGAGGGCCCTTCGAGCCCTACTTTTCTATGATCGTAGGACCCTTGCACTGATGACTTCAAGGGCATCTCCTGAGATGTAGGCACAGCCACTTTGGATGAGACACCACAGAAAGCCTGGTTCTCGGGTCTGGATATGTCCTGTGTAGGTACCAGAGAACTTATCCCGAAGTGCAGCTCACTTCACCCAGTACTCAAGTGCAGCCAGCTCTGGGGGGAAAAGCAGTAGGTGTTCAACAGCAAATCATAACACTGCAGCAGTCTGAGGAAAGAAAGAAACAGCATCTAGCAGAGTCTGTAAGAGGAGTTTAGGCAGGCAGTGCCCAGCCTGGGATCAAGTCCAGACATGAAGCTTCAGAGACACAAGTACAGCAAAACCATTTGGAGAGAAAAGGAGTGAAAATAGATGAGTCTTGCTGCCAACTTGGACACACAGAAGTTAGTAAAATGAAGCGTGAGAGATCCAGGGCTATATGCCCTGCCCTTCTGCCTATAGAAACTACTGGGTCACAAAGCTTTATAGTATCTTTGGTCATGATGACCCATAGGCAAAAACCTCTGCTATAGGTTCCATCAGAAAAACAGCACTAACTTGGATCACAGAGACAGTCAGAAGGCCACCCGCCTATTCACCTCCTCCACAACTTAACAAGGTCTCTCACTCAGTTATTACCCAAGCCTGATCCTACTTATCTTATAAAACAGATCAAAACTAGCATTACCCTATCCACCACAGCAAAAGCCCTACCCCTTTCATCATGTATTTTTTTTTAGCATATGATGATAAAATGATCACAGAGCAAGGGAAAACATATTCACAATTTTATGTCCAAATTTTGCAGCCAGCTGATGGCCTCAAGTGTAATATCATGCAACTGAAGCATAAAGGTGGTGGGGTGGGCCCTTCCTGCCACAATATCAGTCCAAATTATATCAGAGGGGTGGGCACTTCCTGCCACAATATCAGTCCAAATTATATCCTTGTCTGCTCAAAGGATAAACAAAGACACCCCCCACTCCCCCCATGCACCCCACTCCAGGCAGCAACCCAGCGAGGAGCTGTCCCAGACCAGCTAATCAGGCACTCACCTTGCCCGAGAGCAGTTGCACAGGCCATCTGGCAAAAAGATGCTGAGCTGTATAACTATAACCTTGTTAGCTCCACAGGAAATGGAGTTGGGCAGAAGGGAGATCCCAGAGACAGGTTCTCAGACTGAATCCTGTTTCACAGTGCCTCTGAATATCTTTCTGCTGCTTCCCAGTGAGTCTGGCCCACACAGCAAGCAGCGATGGGGGGCACTGAGCAAAGGAGAGCTCGCCCCCACTGGGCAGGGCAGGCTGCAGCTGGGATTCTGCAGTGTTGGCAGCTGGGAGCATACACACTGCCTCCTGGCTGCCCTGCCTGCAGAGTTTGGCTTTGATTAGCTCCTCTGCAGGCAGGCATAGCCAATGGGACCGTGAATCCAGGAACAGCAAAGTCAGCAGCTTGGACCTCCGAACACCCTCCTCCAACAGAGCAAGCAGGGAGCTGAGACATGATGGTGACTGCACATCAGAAACACATGGATTAAACTGACAGCCAGCATCACCCAGCAGTGCCTGATGCCTTCTGGTCAGCTTCACACAGCTCTGTCCGCTTATTAGGAGAACCCAACCCCAGCCCTGGCCCCATGCCACTGCAAAACCCCTCAGCCCCACACAGCCCCAACAGCCATCTGCACTCACCCACACCAGCCCTTAACTATCTTAGGGCTGCACAGCTCCAAGCAGGATTTGGATCATTTAAATTGCAGTCACACTGTCTGAGCTCAGTTACACTGGAGTAAATCTTGAGGGGCTTCACTGGGGTCGGTGCACTTGGGCAGGTTGCAAAATCACAGCAAGGAGATTCTTTTGCAAGTCATCTCTGCAGAAAGCCCTCTGACTGAATGGGCCACAAAGACTGAACTTTATGCATCCCCCCTCCTCCTCTTTCCCGAAGCACAGCCATCTGTTCTGTACCCATCACTGTGTTCTCTGATCCTTGAGGGGCGGCCCTCCTGCTCAGTGCAGGGCAGAGAAGCTGCCTCTGCTCATATCTGCTCTGTGATTCAGGCAAGAGAGCAACATCCCTCTGTCTCATACCCACACCCACAATTGGACACAGAAGCATGTTCCCCAAGATCTACCTCTTGAGGCTCACTCAGGGCAGCCATAGAAGAATCGCAGCCCCTGTGACAGGCTGGGGGAAGGCTGAAGATGACAGATGAACATTTGACCAAACTGTACCTGTGCAGAGAAGGACACAAACCTTCCCCTTAGTTAGGGTTGGACAATTATTTGGGCTGGAGGGCTTTTTAAGGAGTTTCTGTGAGCTGCTGTGGGGTGGAGAGGAGGGGGCACAGTGTTCACCCAGCCTGGCCTAGTGTAGCAGAGGGGGTGCAGAGCACTTTATCCTATCTGGCCTGTCTACCCTGCACCCGCCACCAGGAGTGCCAGATGGAGCAGGCAAGTGAGCAAGTGGGCAGGCAGGGTCTGCATGGAGACTGACCCAGGACTCTGGTGGGCAGGGTCACTCAGCCAGGTGGTTGAGATGGGGCTGCGGGTGGGTGAGAAACACCATCCAGGAGCAGGACGGGCAGCTGGGGCTGGGGCCGGGGCCGGGGCCGGGATGGTGAGGTGGTGACAGCACAGCGCCAGGGCCCAGGGCAGAGCCGCAATTTGCTCCCTGCATTCCCTGCAATGGGCACCAGTTCTGCAAGCAGGGATGTGAGGGGAGCAGAACACGGCTTTGCCCTGGGCCCCAGCCCCACGCTGTCACTGCCCTGCCATCCCAGCCCTGCCCACCTGTCCCACTCCTGGACACTGCTCCTCACCTGCCCATGGCCCCCATCCCATCTTCCAGGCCTAGCACACCCTGCCCATGGGGGCCCTGAGCCAGTCTCCATGGAGACCCCACCCACCCGCCTGCTCCATAGCTTCCACTGCCCAATAAATTCCTGCCCATGGCAGGGGACCAGACTTGATAATCTTGCAGGTCCCTTTTGGTCCTATGATTCTATGATCCGTCAGGTGCCCCTGGCAGTGGGTGCAGGGCAGACTGGCAGCAGCAGCTGGGCAGACTGAGCCACTGCTGCCCTTGCCCCACCACATCCCCAGTACTGACAGAACCTGCTACACCCACCACGGTCTGGGCTCCCCCAGTACCTAGGCTGGGCAGGGCTGAAAGATCTGCCGTGGGCTGGATAGAATTCCTTGGCAGGCCAGATCTGGGGTAAGGGCCATATTTTTCCCCACCACTGCCCTTAGTGCATCACTGCTGCCCAGACCTCCTGGGCCTGTGGGCACTGTACAGGACTCAGGATATCCCACAACTGATTCAGGACAGCTAGCCAAGGAATTATTTCTAACTGAAATCCAGGCCCCTTCCTGTTCCTGTTCCATCAGGTGATGTACACACAAAAGGAAATTGAACTAGACCATTGCTGGGGTT